TCCGGTAGCAATGTTGTACGAACATGAAATCTCATGATTGTGGTAATAGAGCAGCATGCATACTAACATGCAGAATTATTGTGGCCCGGTTAACAAGTGTTCCGTATCTCTCGCTGGACTGTTGGATTAGTCATTAACGGATTCTACTCGTGTACAATTAATTAGGGGAAATAATTAAATCAGGACTTATCGAATTTCTTATATCGCCCTTTACTTGAGATCTCTTTAAATCAATTAAAAATTCCAGTCACATCGAAACCATTTGATAGTCGTTTGAAATATTTATTTTAAGAGAAAATATTTATTTAATGCGAAGTTTATTTCAAAGGAAATGTAATAAAAAATATTTTGATTCTGGGATTGATGGGTCTGAAGGAAATGTTTCCGGGGCGAGGGAATTATTATGATGAATTATTTCATTGAATCAATTGCATTGACTTTTTATTGTATTTGATATTATATGAATTTTACTCGATTAGAATGTTTGAGAACTGGGACGATGAATTTATTTGGTCTCTAGGTCTTTCTGTCGAACGGGAAACTGAAATTCGATTTTTGAGCTTATTAATGTTGAATGGATGCTGGGCTGGTCTTCAGATTGAACTGTCCCCGGATTGGGGATTGAATAAAAATATATTTCACGGACTGTTGCTTTTTAAAAACCGACAATGAGAAATCACTGGGATTTACAGAGTGTAATTGCTGCTCGTTGTGAACCTGGGGAACAATAAAAATGTCTCAGAGCGAAAAACTCTTCCGATTATTACCTAATCCTTGTTATACTCGAGGAATTCAATCGTATGAGAACCATTTTCTATCCCCCAAGCCCTGATACGTACAGAGATTACAATCAAATCGTGAGTGAAAGGTCTGCAATATCCCTCTTTTATACCTTCGATGGAATTGAGTGGATTTATCACAGATATTTGTTAATCCCTTATTCAGAGCTACAAGTTTTTCAATTGATGAGGTCGAGAATGCTTGGGGTGGTACGCCAGTTTGGACACCTGTATTTACTATCCAACGAAGAAGGTCAATTAGTTATTCCAAGATTATCATCAAGATTAAATATTAATGGGTATTTGCGCTCCCTTGAGCCACCGTTACGAATTCATTAATTATTTAAGTCGAGTAAAAAAGCAAAAATCATCGTGATGTTTCGGTTTTTTTATTTTTCATTATGGGAATTTCAGTTCTATCTAAATACCTGCCTCGACTACTCTGGAGTGTAATTAGTTGTGATTAAAAATTTTCGTCTCAACTTTCACCGGTGAATTACGGAATGTCAACTTGTCACTGAAAAATCAAGTATTTCCCGCTTTTCTGCTCAATTATGGAGTACAGATGGTGAAAAATCCGGAAAGTCCAGGGAAAA